AATAAAAGTTCTTAGAAAAATATTTTGATTACGCCAAAATTCTAGTTTTGATAGTCTGATTCCAAAAATACAATTTGTTTTCAATTCGGAGCAGTTTGGGCGAAAAAGTGCGTACCGTTTGGAATAAACTGTTCAGTTTTGGCTGAAAGCCAAAACATTAATTATCAAATCTCTACTCAATCACGTAGCTAACCAAAGGGGTATCCACAAACTCTTTAAATCATTCTCCACTACCTCACTCCACCCACTACACTACAACACTCCAAATAATTATATAATACTCCCAAAACCACACCATAACATCATCATCATCTTCCACCATCCCACATCACCAATCATCTCTCCTCCTCACCATCCCTCTCTCTCTGTCGGCCAAACAAAAGGAAAGGAAAAGAAAGCCTAAACTCCATAGTTGGCTCAAGGAAGAAGAAGAAGGAGCAAGAAAACCATCCAAAGTTTCCAAATCATGATTTCCAAACGCAGCATCAACTTCTACATAAGTTCTGAAATTTTCCATCCATTATCTCGAAATACTTCTTGAACCAAAGTTGTAGCCCCGAACGATACGAATCCAGCCCAACAAACGGCTCGCGATTTCGTTAAGTAACGAAGAAGATATGGCCAAAATACCGGGACTGCGCCAGTGGTGGCAAGCTCCTCGGGTTGGCATGTTTTTCTTCACCAAATTCATATTATTTCATTCCAAGAACTTACCATAAACTCTCTAACACTTATTAGGAACATCCGGAAGGTATCGTAGAGAAGGTTCGGCGTTAGAATATTGAAGTTAATGAGATAATCGTCGGAATCGTTGTTCGTCGGAACATCCAAAATCCTGGCAGCAACTATGAGTCCACTTGTGAGCTATATTTGACCACTTTAAACTCATTATTTTAACATGGTTTCTTCACGAAAGTTATAGCCTTACATCTTAGGAATCCACATAATCAAACGGTTTGCAATTCCGTGAAGAAACGATGGAGATATGCCCAAATTACCGCAGGCTGTCCAGTTGTGACGGAAATGACAAAGTTGGCAAATTTCGATGTTGTTTCCACTCCCGCTCATCCGTAAGGTTCCGGCCGATGATTTCCAGGTCTGTACCTTTGCGTTAGACTTGTCGAATCATTCAACACATGCGTACATGAACATATATGTTAATCCATATGTTGAAATCATTCCAAAATATATGTGTGGTGCATATATAAGTAATCTTTGTGTTAAAACCATAATACACCAAATCCATAAAGTTATTATATAAATACATGAATATATATAAGCATTTGAAATCAACCCAAAAATATGTATATATTAATCAAAGATGTTTAAAAGACTTAAAGAAGTATTTTTGGATACTCAAAATATCAAGAGATAGATTCGCAGACCCAAACGGTCGATGCAAACGGTCGACCGTCGTATTAAAATTTGAAACGGACCATGACTGTCAGCCAAACGGTCGACCGCTGGTGGCTGACGGTCGACCGCCGCCGTCCAGCCGAAGTCCGCCATCCGCAGCCAGTCAACAACGGTCGACCGCCAGTCAACCACGGTCGACCGTCACGGTGATACGCCAAATCCGAACTGTTGAAGATCAAGGTCGACCGTTCCGCCAAACGGTTGACCGTTCCGAG